ACTCATCTACTGTAGTAGAACCCTGACTGTGGAGGAGAACCTCACACGCACACACACACACACACACACACTACAGAACACCACGACTAAAACAGGTCAGTTGGTTGGTTTGTTGGGCACGTGCCCCCCCAATGTCACCACACCACCCGCTTCCTTCAACAGCAGGTACTGTTCATCCACCCAACCCTGCCTCTTCCTCCCAAAACAAGCTCTGCTTTGTTCCCCCCCGACCAACCCCATTGGCAGGGCCTGGGAGTTTATATGCTTAGTTTAAAAAAAAAAAAGGCACTACCCACCCGTCAGTGCCTGCCTGTGTTGACCCCCCCCCACCACCACCACCACCTCACCCTGTGTACTGGAGAGAAGTAAACATTCTCTTGACAAGTTTCAGGTGCATTTAGTCCTTAAATCCAGCAGGTAAGACTGTACGAGATGCTCCAAACAGTCCGAAAGAGATAAAACTCCAACTCCGTGTTAGAGTCGTGACCATTAAAGGTGTGTGTGTGTGTGTGTGTGTGTGTGTGTGTGTGTGTGTGGGGGTGTGTGTGTGGGGGGGGGGGGGAGCATTCCTGCGGCACAAGTTTTTGCTTTATCTGATGAGACATGGAGCGGAGAACAATTAGCTATATTGCTGACAACAGCTGAGATCTGGAAAACAACAGCCGGAGGGAGGGCCTGAAACCAGCCCAGAAGAAAACAATAGGACACACACGCACACACACACGCACACACACACACACACGCACACTCAAGAGGAGGATGCGTCCATGTTTTCTGCAAGCTGTGTATTCTCCCGTCTATTCTGAGAATCACTGGAGTCGTGTATTATCTCAGAGATAAGAGACTCTCTCTCTCTTTCTCTTTGCCAGGACTCAGGAAGTGCAGAGGAATTTTCTGCCAGATATCTCTGTGTTTTTAAACTGTTCTCGAAGCCCACACCTCCTCCTCCCCCCCTCCTCCTCCTCCATGGAGTGACTTCCTCTCCAGGCCGAGCCTTGGCTCCCTGCTCTCCACTGGTGCATCCTCTTCCTGAGGTGGAGTCCACCCTTTTCCATCAAAAGAAACCCTCCCTCCATTTGCCCTTTTCTCTATTTTTCTTCCTCTTTTAGAGGCGGAGCCTTTTTAATTCGAACATGAAATTTGGAACCGCTCAGCACAAAAGACGCTTATTTGTTTAAATACCGACGCAAACTAAAAGGGAAACAGAAGCTGAAGAAGCAGATCTCCTGATTCTACTTTTCTATTTGGGTCAAAGGGCATCTGGCTCTTTAGAGTTCCCACTGATATTAATAAATATCTATAAATATCTCATCAAACTGTATTTGTGAGACACGTGAAGCTGAAGAAAGATGATTTTAAATGTGAAAATCTGCTAAATATTCTGTCTGAACACAAGGAGACACTGAGGGTGAGAGGGAACAGAAAAAGGGAGCAGCAGGGTTGTAGGAAGGAGACGGGTGGTGGTCACGAGAGGAAAAGGGGGGAGGAAAAGGGAGGGAGGAAAAGGAGGGAGGAGGCAGAGAAACACTCACTCCTGCAGGGTCTCCACTCCCATTTCCTTGTACTGCAGCTCCTGCTTCACCTGAGCCAGCTCCTGCTTCAGTCTGGAGAGCTGCCGACAGAATAACAAGCTGAGTCATGACTCACACACAGGAACGCTCCGTCATGTTTATACAGTGTGAGTGTGTGTGTGTGTGTGTGTGTTATAATAGAGTTAAATATCAGAACGCTCGATTTCTGTGGTTCAACGTAACGAGAACCGGCGGAGATTCATGCTTCTCCTCATTACAAGATATCACTTATTAAAGCTATAAAAACTCAAACTCAAATTAATTTACGTTCATTTTTATTTTCATCTTTATTAGTTTTTAATCGGAGAACATCGTATTTATTGAGTCGGTGATTCTCAAACTGAGGCGTTTCCTCCTGAAACTAAATGTCTGATCATGTTTTACATATTATACATAAATATTGTCCACAATACATGTTTTTTTTAAACATTAAATTATAGTAAATGTGTTGTTATATTATTATTTATACTGTCATATTGTACGGGAAAGTACAACAAAGATTATTAGCAACTTTTTAAATGGACATTCTTTAAACCTGCACATGAACACAGGTTCATAGTGTCAGATACTATTTTATTAAAAACTCTTTAATAAATATTATTTTAATAATTTCCCATCTAGAGAAGCTCCCTTTGAATAAAACATTGTGTGAACTTATCTTGTGGAATAAAAATGTTCATTTAATTGAACTCAACTGTTTTTTTGCACATAAAGAGACTTTTGATCATTCTGTGAACACATCTGTTCTCCTGCTTCTCTGCACTTTGATTAACTAAACCTCCACATGTGAAGGTCATGTGTGACATCTACAGAGAGAAGAAATGATGAGCACTCATTTATTTATTGGATATAAATCACTGACTTCGAACCATCAGTGTAGATTTCTGGGAGTAAGAACTGAACTTTAATGAAATGAAACGTTTTCGTGGTGAACACAAAGAATAAAGTTGAACTCAATCCAGGAAACACCCTCAGCGAGCTAGCCTCAGCCTGACCCTCTGATGATGATGATGATGATCTCATCCTCATCCTCCAGAGGCCCCCGGGGCTACAGCCACAGTATCCTGTAGGGGCCACACCCCGCCCCCCCCAAAAAAGCCTCAGAACCATTGTTCTCCTCCGGTGATGAAGACTTACCCGTTCTCGTCTACAAGCCACCTCCACTTTGATTTGGTCGGGGTCGTATTTGGAGTTTGAGGACGAGCCGGAGAGCGCTGAGAACACACGAAGAAGAAAAGATGGAGTTAGTTCATGACGTGTCGATGTGTGGACGCTGGTGGGCAGCTGGAGGGTAAACTGGGTGGAGGCTACACCAGGAATGGAGGATCTGGAAGATCTTGCAATAGATCTTTAACCCCCCCATCAAGTTCCTGAAGGGACTTTAACTCCAGAGCAGATTATTAGGTCAGCGAAGGTTCCAGCTCACACTTCACTCGTCCTTTAATTCTTTCTTTTCATGTTCTCTCACGCATGTTTTATCTTTGATATAAAACACAGGGCTGTATGTAGAGACGGGTGTTGTTATGGGTATCAATACTAGTACTCTTATTGATACTCTTATCGGTTCTCTTTGAGTATTTTTAGAGAAAAAAAGTCAATTAATTAAGAAAATAATCCACATTTCTTTATTATTCTTACCGTATGACGTCACTACCGTATGACATCGCTACCGTATGACATCGCTACCGTTACCTGACGGCTGCTCCACAAACAGACTGATGTTCTGCTTGTTGGTCACATGTTGTGAACCAGAGTTCTACAATGTTCCTTCTCTCTCCAGAACTTCTAAAGAACCGATAGCAGAAAGGCTAACTCTGGACCTTATTCTGTTCAGAACCAGGTTCCATCCCTCGTTGTGTGAGGAGAGTGAGCTGGATGTCTTACTGCTGGTGATGGAGCGATTGTCCTCGGAGAGCTCGTGGAAGAGCAGCATTTCCTGCTGAGCCAGCTCCAGACGCTGCTGCTTCACCAGGTACATCTCCTTCTTGGCTTTGAGGGCCTCCTGGGCCACCACCAGGTACTCCTTCAGCATGCGCTCCTGCTCCTGCCGCCATTGAGTTCGCGGGTTCTCGATCTGGGTGGTCTCTATGAGAACCGGAGAAGAGGAACAACAACAACGAGAAGAACAAGGAGGAGAAGAACAAGGAGGAGGAGAACAAGGAGGAGAAGAACAAGGAGAAGGAGGAGAAGAAGGAGGAGAACAAGGAGAAGAACAAGGAGGAGAAGGAGAAGAAGAAGGAGAAGGAGGTGGACGAGGACAAGAACAACAACAACAACAACAACGAGAAGAACAAGGAGGAGAAGAACAAGGAGGAGGAGAACAAGGAGAAGAACAAGGAGGAGAACAAGGAGGAGAAGAAGGAGAAGGAGGTGGACGAGGACAAGAAGAAGAACAACAACAACAACGAGAAGAACAAGGAGGAGAAGAACAAGGAGGAGGAGAACAAGGAGGAGAAGAACAAGGAGAAGGAGGAGAAGGAGGAGAACAAGAAGAAGAAGGAGGAGAACAAGGAGGAGAAGGAGGTGGACGAGGAGGAGAAGAAGAAGAATAAGAAGGAGAAGGAGAAGGAGAAAGATAAGGAGAAGAGGAAAGAGAAAGAGAAAGAGGAGAAGCAAGGCATTACATGGCAGTGGAGGATCTGTTTAGAGGAACATTCAAAACGTTTACGAGACTTCTTAGATATCGAATCATCGGCGAACTGTCGACACTAAACCGCTCCTGATTGGACGAACGCTTTCACGCGAGGGCTGCAGCCTCGGCTTCACAACAAACAAACGAGTCGGCTCGTTTGTTCTCCTTTTCTCTGATTTACTAAAATTGTTCAACGAAATGTGATTCAGAAAGCATTTGAGGTGAAATGAGCCACGCAGTTCCTCAGTCTTCATTCTGCATCGACAAACAAAGTTTTTGGGAGTTTAAGAGGCAGAGAGTCACGCTGGATGCTCCTAATTTGCATAAAGTAGGCTAAACCTCAACTTTATGCAAATGAGGAGTGTCCTCGCCTCTCGAAACGAAACATAATATATGTGGAATGTATCTGCATTGCATTCTATCTTCATTTTGGATTGTTTGAGAAAGTAGGAAATATATTCCCAATTATTTTTCTTCTGCCTTGTGAAGCACTTTGTACCTCGTTTTGATAAGTGCTATTTAAATAAGCTTTATTATTATTATCATCATTATCAAGACCACAAGATGTCTGTTCACAGGTTAAACCTTCATTGTGACATGAGACCAACAATCCAGAGTTAAATATTTACAATCACACAGAAAATTAGGATATTCTACAAAACACGTTGTTTGTTGTCAAAACTCAGAGCCAATCAGGTGACAGGCAGGCGTTTCCCATCATGCACTTGCCGTCTCCTTGGAGAACAGAAAGAGCTAAATCAGTGGTGTGTTTCAGTACTCGTAGTTAGACGGGGATGTACTCACTGTTGATGTGGTCGATGTAGTAAACTCCCACTTGCTGGTCATAAACCTCCTCCCACCCGAGAGGCAGCTCGTCTCCAACACAGTCGGCAAACGTCAGCGGTTTGGTGATCCTGAAATGATTTAAAAGCTGTTCAGTAACACAGTGATGGAGAGAAACGCTCCGTTATATCAGCTGAAGAGATAATAAACATAAACACAGTCTGTGAAGAGCTGGAGACTATTGAGTGAGTTTGACTTAAATGAGAGCGTCGAAGGCACCAAAACCTAACTCGTGGTTATCAAGAACAATACAAACAATCAGAGATAATAACATGGAATAAGATTTACCCCAAACATAGTCGCTGCTATACAACACATTATTTAAATAACCAAAGACTCACAACACACAGGTCCTCTTCTAGTGTCTTCATTTCTGTTATTTATTGATTTTACTCATCCAAAAGGTATAGAAATGTACAATAAACGTAAGTTCCTGTGAGTGAGATAATGCAAATTTGAAAAATTTAACATTTTATGACGAGCATCCATGTTAACTGGGTTAGAGTTCCCATCATGTGACCCACAAACACTACGACTGAGAACGAACGCTGTCTGTAAACAGCTGAAACCTTTAGCACCACATTTAGCTTCATTGCATAACTCTTCTGAGAGTTTAACTTTACAGAAATCTGTTCTGTCTCCACACATGATTTCTGTCCTCTCAGCATTAACGGGCTCTGCTTCATTCATCGTGATTCTTAAAGACGTTTTCAACGTTAATCGAGCAAAAAGTAAACATTAGAAGAATATTCTCTCCTCCACCTCACTGAGCCTCAACATTAAAGCAGCTTTTAAATGTATATCATCATCATCATCATCATCATCATCATCATCACCATCACCATCACCATCATCAGGAAGAGAAACTCTGCGCCCGACACGTAGTACAAGTACACAGCTGAGGTATTAAGTATGAGTACATTTGGGTAATGTGTGTTTGTGCTTTTCTATGACGGACTGCAGGTCAATCAGCTGCTTCACTGAGTCTAAACGAGCTAATGTGACTATTAGATTTCCCTGATTTTGATGACATCTATTAAAAAAAGAATAATTTCCTGCAACATACATTCTTTAGAGATTGCTTGTATCTGAAGAATACATTATTAAAGCCAAATCTTTGAAGTATTTAGTATTTCTCAGAGAAAGTGTGTCAGTGTCATCGGTACAAGTTAAAAACAATGCATTCTGCATTCAACAACGAACTTTCAGCTCTCTTTAAAAAGTAAATAATTCATGAATATATTAAGAGAGACCACAATAAGATAGTAAAGACTCGTAAACAGCAGCAAAGCTTTCTGTGATGTGAAACTCTTCTTTGTGTGATTTAAGCGTTAAAAGGTGTTGAGTTGAGAGCTGTGCTGGGAAGAAGCAGATCAAATGTCTTCACGTCTTCATTTGATCCTATTAGACATTTGTGTCATAACCAGCAAATTAATTCTTAAATTATGGACAAAAATGTGTTTGGTCACAGTGACGTTTGACCGACACATTCTAGTCCGTTCATCCTCGAGTCGAAGTGGATGTTTGAAGAGATATGAAGAGATTCCCTGAAAGCGTTCCTGAGACATTCATGAGAACAGACGGACAAAACCGAAGACATGACAAAGAGATGTTCTGATCTTTTCCTTCTCGATACTGATTCCGGTACCTGGATACAGAGTACTGATCTGATACTTACGACTTGAACCAGAACCATCATGACTCGAAGTAGAGAGAACTAGAACATGTCTTTAGTGCAGAATAACACATTTATGATGACATATTGAACTATTGACATGTTTCCAGCCTCTCCTCTCCTCTCCTCTCCTCCCCCCTCTCTATCCTCTCCTCCTTGTTGTCACATGACTGTTGGTCTCAGATGAATCAATCATGACTTCATAGTTTCACTGAGGAGCTCACACTTTAATGTTTTTACACAATCTGGTTAAAGTGAACGCTTTATTTGTGGAGAGATTTTAAATGAGAGATAAAATGTTTTTGATGAAATATCACAATTTTAAGCTTAGTTTCGCTTTCGTTTTCTGACGGAAGCGTTCATCACACATGACATGTTCGAGGACTGTCGGAAGATGAAAATCTGACGATAATGACAGTCTTTACAGATTCTGGCTGAGATAAACGGTGTAGTTTTGGCGATTGTAGAAAAAAGAAACTGTTTTCCATCCCGTCAGCGGGTTTTGGCCTTCAGAGGTTGTATCTTCAGGTACTAAATGTCAACAATGAACAACTGCCATGATGTAATAATTTAAAAGGCTGTGTGTGTGTGTGTGTGTGTGTGTATGTGTGAGTGTGAGCCCCCGTCAACACACACCGAGTCCGTTTACAACATGATGGGGCAGAACTAACCACATCAGGCTGATACATCACTGACTCCTCGAATCTCCACAGTCTGCTGACAGAACATCAGTTAACCGTCTGGTTTCTATCAGAGACAGTGACAGAGACTCCTCCCCCACCACAGTACCATCACAATGCAGTCAACGCATGAGGCCCGATAGTGGTGAGGCATGCGGAACAATGACGGGCGAGTACCACAATCCTGGGCGAGTACCACGTTCCTGGGCGAGTACCACGTTCCTCGCCACGTTCCTCTCACCACGTATAAACTACTCTTTAGTGAGCTAATGGACTAAAGAGATCTAGAGCATAAACTACTCTTTAGTGAGCTAATGG